TTTCCTCCTCTACCCTCCCTCACTATCAACCTTCTTCTGCCACTCCTTTCCACTGCGCTGAACAGAATTCTTTTTCTAAAAAGTTTAGAATGTGCCTTTCTTGTTTTGAAAATTAGAATGTTAAACATTAGGGTCACAGAATACAGATAATGGACTCAAACCCAACACGATCCATGAGAAGATTTTTCTTTATCTCCGCCTTTGCCTACAGAGTCCAACTCATCATTTCAGGTTCTTTCCAAGGGGATTATTCTTAGGCCAACCCTGCTTAATATTTTTCCACTGCTTCAGATAGGTGAGTTCATTTATCCTCCTCTTCTTTTCTTTCTTTCTTTTTTTTTCCTAAAAAGGCAGGAAGAGATGGGGAAACAAAGCCAAGCTATGTAAGTTCCTGGGTGCAAAGTACAGTTGTGGGCCCGGTGAGCAATCAAAAAGAATAAAAAAGGCAGTTTCTCACTCCTGAAGAGATAAAATTGCCACACAGGTTAATGCAGTTGGGCAGGAGAGGGGCTGTCTGCACGTGGGACATTCCGTAGGCAGAGTGGCCTTCAGGGTTTACTCAAGTGCAAACAAGAAGGAACAAAGATTTAAAGACAATGGAAATAATATCTAATGCCTTTAAATTCAAATGTGGCGAGTATAGTTACTTTCCTAAGGAGCTCGTGGACCAAATTTTGTGTGTGAATGTGGTATCTGGCTTCGTCTTCCTTTCGTTTCTTTCTTTTCCCTTTCCTTCATTTCCTCATCAATTATTTTTATCCTGTTATACTGTGCGCGTTGTGTAAGACTTCTTAAATCTTTTTTTGGGGACAGGATAGTGTTAATACATAAATTAGAATTGATTTTATTATATAAATTTCAGTGACTTTGATTCTGCAGTTTTAAGTTCTCCAGATAGTTCTTTTCAATAGTATCCTGTTCTTATTTCATGGAGGCAAGCTATGTTTCTTCTCTGGTCTCTCTGGGGATATTAACAATAACTTTTAATTATTCTTTCTTCTTCATGCACAGTGTTTCCTCTAGTTCTTTTTTTCCCAGGTTATAGGCTTTTCTCAGGTATCTGGGGATGCTGGCTTGTGTGGTTGGGATGCTCAAGAGCTGCCTGGAAGCTCTTGTGGAGTGCTCAGAGGAGCTGCTCATGGGGCAACCCCAGTGGCAGTGTCTCTAGGTCTTTCTTCTTTTGCTGGTCATCACCAGAAAGGCCTCTCCCAGCCTCCGGGCTGGAGGGCAAAGGCTGGGCTGTCAGCTTCTGGGAGCCAAGCAGAAGAGGGCTGGGGTCTCGAGGGTAAGCAGCAACATTGTGTATGAGCGTAGCCACTCAATCGCCCTCTGTATGATGACCCTCAGCTGTGCTGGCCAGCCAGCCCTCACCTGAACTTGTAGACCCCAGTCCTGAGTACTCCCACTCCACCGCAGGGGCAGGGGAGTGGGGGTGTCCTCCAGTGGTGTGGAGTGGGTGAGGGGATCTAGGGATCTAGCCCCTTCTCAAACAACTTCCACCAAATCCTTCTTTTATGTCCCTCCCCTTTGTTTAACCACCTGATCCAAAGGGCCCTGTTGGTGCCAGTTCATGAGCCTTTTGGGGATTCGATAGGTTGGTTTTCGGCTTCCCAGCTGCTGGCTTTAGGTTTGCCTCTTGGAGTCTGCTAAGTCAGCTATACCGGCCATCGGCTTCGCAGTTTCCAACCTTCGGTTGCTGTTGTCATCTCCTTTCCTATTTTCCCCATTCTTGTAGATTTCTGTCTTTAAAAAAAATCTCTTAACTATAATTCTGGCTTTATTGGGGAGGAAGAAATGCTAGACACATTTGTTCAATCTGTCATGATAACCCAGCAGGTCTTAAATTACATTATTACTTTTATTTTCCCACACAACTCAATAACCCAACTCACTCTTCTTTTAGTTCATTGGCTTGAGACTGTCAAGAAAGTATTTAATTTCTTTGGATCTTGCTTTCCTTATCTGTAAAACAGGCATATTTCTTGTCCTACCTACCTTATAGGTTGTTGCAGCTGCCCTGAGTTGCCACATAAATGTAAGGACAAAATAACCAGCCGTACATGCACGGCTCTGCAAAACCAGGCTCACGGGGTGATGGCGAATATCCTCCTGGGTCAGTGAAAATACTCAGGCCTGACCTCTAGTTTTCGTCCTTCTTTCCAGATCAGCAATTTAACAGGACCCTCAGATTTGTTGACAAAGCCCTTGGGGGACAGCAATGCGCACCTAGTCTGTGTAAGAGGCCACAGCCCCTCCCTGACCTGGGACACAGATGACTATTGATCTTGGAACTTTTGGAAGAGGAATTATTCTCTCCATTTCCCTGCCTTTCTGCCTTTTCCTCTGTTTTCTTCTAAGTAAATCACTCTGCTTTCCTCCTCCAACGATAACCTTCCCTCTTTTTCTGATTTGCATTTACCGTTTCCTTTCCTCCCAGCCTTGGCCCAGGTGGACACACCTTACGTGCACATTATCCATCAATCCTCCAGGCAGTACCTGTGCTCCTGGGGGTCTGCAGAGCCCCGGGGAGCAGGGAGGCCCTCCAATGAGCAAGGCCAAGTGCAGCAGGGAGGGGCTCTGGCTTCAGCAGGGTTATCTGTCTCTAGTGCTGCAGAAGGGGCAGGATTTCCCCTGGAAAGGGAACCAGTGGTTTCACAGGGACATAGAAGAGAAATTTCCCGACCTGTTTAAAGGGATGTAAACTTCTTTTACACTGAAAATACCCTGGCCTCTCTTTTCCCACTCCCACCGCCTCCTTGCCCTCGACTACAGTGGAGAGTAGACAAAGCATCGGTAGCAGAGTATCCCATTTCCAGGAATCAGTCCCAACAGATTCACACGTCAAGAGGGGACCCTTCTCCACTGAGGAGGCAGCTCAGACCCGGCTCCCTGAGCGTTGTGATGTGATGGCAAAGGCAGAGGGAACTAAGGCTGGTGGCAGAGGGGAAAGCATTGAGGGAGATGGAGGGGCGAGGAGGACCATAGGTAGTTGTGGGCCCAACTGGCAGGAATGTTCCTTCCCTTATTTCAGGCTGGCTGTGGATGACTGAGCAGATAAGCAAGGAGCCTGCTCAGGCAGCATGGGCACGTTTGAGTGCTGTGATCCAACAGTGCTCTCCACAAAGTTTTCTCTGACACATTTGGTGATAGGAGCAGTGGGGCATGATGATTACGTGTCCTTGGCAGTTCACGTAAATGACTGTAATGAGTATTACGTGACCTGGCTGGGGCAGGCATTCCCGGGGGAGTGGGGGAGGATGGAGGAGAACTGGGTGGAGCGGGAACCTGCTCAGGTGGCTCTTGGTGGATTTCTGCCTCTGTGACAGGGCCCTGCCCTGCCTCCTGTCCAGGCCCCTCCTCCTCAGGGGAAGGCTCAGCTGCTGCTCTCCTTTGCCTCTCCCTCCCCACGCCCCAACCAGCCTCCTCCTGGGCTGGGGGCTGCAGTGTCTGGTCCTCAGTGTCAGGACGAGGAGCATGGACCAGATCCCTCTACTGAGGGGAGAGGGCCGGGAGGCCTCAAGCCAAACTGTGCCAGGACCTGCCGTGGCTCAGGACCGGGGGTGACTGGAGAGAGGAGGAGAGGGGATGGGACGCCCTCATGAGGTGTGCGGATCGTGAGGTGTTCTCACAGAAACCTGGGAGGTATTTGTTTCGCGGGGATGAGAAGAGATTGTGTGCGCTTGCACAGGGTGTTACAGTCTGCTGGCAGGTACCCTCCCTGCCACCCTCACACCCCTTCCCTTCTTTTGAGAGAGGAATGCCCATGGGGTCCACCAGGCTGCTCTGGCAATCCACCCCACCTCACCCCTCACCCCTAGGGCAGAGGCCCTGGCAAATGGCTTTGCTGCTGTTTGGAGCCGTATTGGTGGGGCTGGTGGATAGACTCAGATGTAGGTGGATGGACTCTGCACAGGTGGCAGAGGTGGCCAGGGAGCTGCGGGTGGGTGGGTGCTGGGGCAGGATGGAAGGAGCCCATGAAAAGGGGGTGCGGTGTTACCCAGGAGGAAGTAAGAATGCTGGATTCCAGGGAAGGAGGGTGAGACTGGTGGGGTGGGGGATGGCTGGAGGACAGTGGGGGAGCCAGGAGGAAGCTGAGCCAAGCAAAATGCTGAGTGAGGCTGACGGAGCCGTGACAGTGGCTCTGCCCTCTTCCTTCCGCTAAAAATACCATGTTTCCAGACAGCCCTCCTCCACCCTGCACCCGCGCCAGGCTTTGTCTGGCAGGGTCAGGGCATTGTGGAGCAGGGAGGGGCCTGACCTCGAAAGCTGGGCTGACCTGGGGTCGAGGGGCTGAGGGGGCCTGCTTAGGGGCTCTGTCTGAGAACAGGAGCTGTGGCTCCCCACTCCACAACCCCACGTTCAAGGAATGCTGAGCCCCTGGGAACCTACCTGGAGGGGAAGGACAGGACGTGGGCGGCTTCCCCCTCACATGACTTCCTGGAGAGACCAGCAAAACCCTGAAGGGAAGGGAGTGGGCTCTTGGCAGGTGCAGCCAGACTGCTGAGACCCCACCCAGTTCTTAGGGCCCTTTTCTCCCTGAGAGGTGAATGATGCTGTGGTTAGGTCCCGGGAGCCATACAGATCTGGGTTGATGCCCTGTTCCACCACTCACTAGCTGTACGGCTTTCAGCAAGTGGCTCCATTTGGCAAGTAGGGATAAAGACAGTACCTGTCTCAGAAAGTTGAGACGGATGCTTGCGAAGGACAGCGCTGCACCTGGCACAAAGGAGATGTTCAAGAGACAACTGTTATGATGATGACCTCTCCCTGTGCTTACGGACCAAGCTGGCCTGGCATGTTTTTGCACACAAGGATTTAGTCACCATCGAGGGCTCTCTCCTCTGCAAAGGAAGCTTGGTGTACAAACCTATCTGAAAAGAGCAGGTTGCCTTCCAGCTGCTGCAGTGCCCCACCCTCCCCGCTCTGCCCAGGGCTGGGATGCACCCTGACCCTGAGTTCCAGGCTCTGATGCTAACTGTTGCCTGCCTGCTTCCCCACAGACCTGCGCAGGATGACGGCCGGCTTCATGGGCATGGCGGTGGCCATCATCCTCTTCGGCTGGATCATCGGCGTGCTGGGCTGCTGCTGGGACCGAGGCCTTATGCAGTATGTGGCAGGGCTTCTCTTCCTCATGGGAGGTAAGGCTGCAGGCTTGAGGGGCTGTGGGCATAGATGGGTCCTGGTTACTGGGATTCTAGGAGAATGGCGAGGAGTCATGGCGGATGAAGGCTGTGACTCTGGGGGGTCTCTTCTCATTCACTCATTCATTCATCAGACATTTTTTTGAGCTCCTCTTAGCCACACGCCACTCACCACTGCGCCAGCTGCTGGGGATGCAAAGGCTGATAAGGCATAGTCGTTACCCCTGGGGGTCTGACTAACTGGTGTGGGAGAGACTGTGCGGCTATGGCATTGAGAGAAGTGTCAGACCTGGAGCGAGCATGAACCCAGGAAACACTCAGGCATTTTATACACACACTAGACTTTGGGTGTGGGAAGCAGGTGCTATCTGGGCAGTTTCCCTTCAAAACCCATCTTCACCCTTGATTTATGGGTCCTGATGCTGCTCCCTTTTCCACTCCAAAGATGGTGGGACAGGGCCAGACCTTCTCTCAAGGCTAGATCTGTCTCCCTCACTCTCTGTTATTGTCATGGCCATAGAACCATGGGCCTCTTTTCTCCTTGAAGAGCTAGAGTGTGCTGTTTGGTCTCCTGGTTTGAGTCTCAATCCAAAGCTGGAGCTAACCATTGGGTATGCCCATCGTAGTCTACTCCTCAGAGAAAAGTGGGTCATTGAGTGGCGTGGCACTAGGTGGAGGAGAATTGGGCTTGGACAGGGGAATTGGAAATATTTATGGGAAGAAAGGAGGTGAGTCCTACAGATGGAAACAAATGCCGGTTAGACTTTAGGCACCATGAGCATGTGCCCAACTCAGGTCCCATTGGTGAACAGCCAGCCTGACTCTGGGTTTCCGAGCAGAGGCGGGAGGTGGAGTGGGTCAAGTTGGGAAAGGGGGTGGCTGTCCCTCTAGGTGTGCAGAGAGGTCTCTGGGAGCTGGTGAGCTGTGGGTTGGGAGAGGAGGAGAAAGGCAGGATTCGTCTTAGGGCCTGGCAGTTGGGTCCCACACCTGCAGTTCAGGCAGACTCGGGCAGGGAGGGCACAGGCAGCAGTTCCCACACCACTCCTTCTGGTCTCCCACAGAGACAGAGGCCCACAAAACCAACCACACTCACCTTTTCCACTTCTGGGCATCCTCCTCAGTGAACCTGGGAGTCAAACTAGCCCCAGACTCCCCGACTCTGTTTTAGCAGCGGTGGAATCTTTTTGTTTCCACCTTCCAATCAAAATCTTCCGTGGACCCTGAAATGGAAAAAGATAAAAGTGGAGTGGCTCTGTTTGTAGTGAGGGTTCTCTCTAAGAATCTTTTGGTTATACAAAGACAGGCTCCAGTTAAACGAGGCTTTTCTAAGGCTCTAGAGAGGTCTCCCAGGAGTCCAAGAAAAGCTGAGCAAACAGCCCTTGGGCAGAGCAGGAATCCGGGAGCTTAGGGAGCTGACTCTCTTTCATCCCTACCTCTTTCAAGGTGTTGCAGCTCCCTGCCCATGGTCTCCTCTCTCCCCTCTCTCCAGGCCAGGCACATAGCTCACATCCTGCCCAGGTGCTAAGTTTCCAGGACACTTCAACTCTGACAACTTCCCTCTGGGCTGCTTAAGTCAGCTTCCAGAGAAAGAGAGAGAATGTGACTGGCCCACACCACTGGTCAGAAAATAAATGGGAAGAACTGAGTGACAATGGCTGGGCCAACAGCTGTGAGTGGGGGGGGGTCATTGTGACACTTCCTGCTCACCTGAGACCTTGAGTGGGAACTCTCTCCCAGAAAGGAGTGTGGGGACAGACAGTGAGGGGCAGGAGGATGCATGGAGCCCTGCTCCCCACTTTCTGAGGGACCTCCGAGAAGCCTAGGGCTCTGGAGAAGACAGTCTGAAAGCCCTTGGGCTTGATGAGGAATCTGAGGCCCCTCCCTACAGGGTCAATGAGTGAGACCATTGCTTACCTTTCGCCTGGGTAGTAGTTCTCAATCACTGCACATTCGAATCACCTGGAGAGCTTTTAAAGCATACTGATGCTGGGCCCCACACCAGACCAATCCAAGCGGAACTTCTGGGAGTGATCCTAATGTGCAGCCAGGGCTGAGAGCTACTGCAATAGATGAACTTTAAAGTCCTCTCCAGCCCTAAAATGTTATGGTTCTAGGGAGGAACCAGTTGGCCAAGACCTCTCATGATTTGTTTCTTTCTTCCCTGCACTCCCCCAGCTCTTATGACTATTTTTCCAAGCCCTATGCAGCAAGAGATGGGGAAGTGCTGTAACGGGGCTTCAGTTACTACTGTGGAGACCTATCTGAGCCCTGACCACTGAGGGGCCCAGCTAAATCTGCTATTCCAGGACATGTACTCTACTTTTTCAAACGACAAAACCATAGTTCATGATAAAATGTTAGCATCAAGAAGAGCTTTGGGGAAGTTGCTCTTCTAAGAGCTATTTCTGCTGAGTGGGGCCTTGTCCTGGTTGGAACGAAACCATCCTGTCCACCCTGGAGATTTATTACCTGTGTCCGTAGGTAGAGCCCTACCTTCCTAAAAGAGGCTGGGGAGGGATATGGTGTCCATACACCTCATGGGTACCATCAGGCCAGGCCCCAATAGGAGGGGAAGAAGGACAAAGCCACTAAGAACTTATCCCTTGAACAGGGGTCTTTTTGGGAAGACAAAGCTCTTTGGAGTGGGAGGACTCTCCTTCTCAAGTTAGTGTGCTTTCCAACTAGGCTAGACATAGCCATGGGAGTCCAGATGCCCAGAGCAGCTGCCGTCTGCTGACCCTGTGAGTTTGGTTTGGTTAGGAGCTAGAGAAGGGGCAGACTCAGGAAGAGAAGCTTCCATCCCTGCTCAGCAGAGAGAGCTAAACTGAGAGGCTGGGGTGTCAACCCTGAAATGATGCCTTGACCTATAGAACCCTGTGTGCCAAAGAGAGCCAGCACCAACCCCTCCCAGAACCTGAGCAGTCCCTGCCTTCCGGGAGTTGACCTTCTAGGGTTTACCTGTTGAAGAGCTTGGAGAGTCAGCTACCTGTGACAGCCACTGCATGAACACAGCAAAACAGTCATTCAAACTACAGATATTTATGGCAAAGTGAGACAAAAAGGCCTATGTCCTTAGCTTTCACCCAGAGTGGATTTCAGCATCTGTAACTGAGCACGGACAGGTGCCCGAGGGGTTGGAATGGATGATGAGTGAGAACAGCTGGTGGGGACCAGCAGCAGTGCTCAGGAGCTGGCCAGGCAAGGGTGTGGTGAGTGGGTAGAAAAGGAGGTGTTGGCAAGAATGAAAAAGGTAACTTTGGAGTCACGAGTCCAAAGATGGAATCAGAGTTGACTTTAGATGAAAGTACCAGGGCCAAAATAAAAATGGAAGAATTCTGTTAACAACCTTTTCTCTGTTCTGGTGTGAAGGAAGATGGCTCAAAGTGGTCACTGCTGTGTTCCAGGTTTAACTATTTCCCAGGTTAAAGAGAGGGCATCCCACAACTTGTGAAATAACTAGCAACAAATTGTTTAATTAACACTCAACCCAGAGGAGGCAATTAATTAAGGAGGGCAGCTCTGGCGGGCCAGGAGGCTGGGGGCAGTGGGTGGGATCCAGTTTCCCCTTTGGCAGGGCCTCCAGGGGAGAATCTGGCCCAGGCTGGCACAGCACCATTTGGGTGCCAGCAACTGCCAGAGACAAGTGTCTTGATGAGTCATCAGTAGTGTTCAGAAGCACAGGAACAGGATGACATGGGGGAAAGACTGCATGATGAGGGAGCATGTGACTGCTATAGTTACTGGTAATTCACTTGCTGGGTGAACCTCAGAGCCGCCTCATGGACACAGACCTACAAGATGAGTGTGAACATCCAGCGCATGCCCCACCCCATCAGCACCGTTCTCACATATCTTCCCACACTCTTGGAAGATTCCGTCATCTCTGCCATCACCCAGGTCTAAACCTCCCTGAGCTCTTGTCCAGGCTAATTCTGGAGCCTCCTATCTAGATGTCCTGAGTCCACTCTGGCACTCAGCAATCAGTCCTTCACAGGGCAGTTAGCATAATTTTTTAAAAACTATAAATCAGATATGTCACTCATCCACTATCAATGCTCCACAGGCTCCATGTTGAACTTAAAATCCAAATTCCTTACCCTTCTTTGGAAGCTGTATTAGTCAGCTTGGGCTGCTATAACACATACCAGAAATTGGGTGGCTTATAAACAACAGAAATTTATTTCTCTCAGTTCTGGAGGCTGGGAAGTCCAAGATCAAGGCGCCAGCAGATTCAGTGTCTAGTGAGAACCCACTTTCTGGTTCCTAATGATGCTTCCTTGCTGTGTCCCCATGTGGTGGAAGAGGTGAGTGAGGGAGCTCTCTGTGGCCTCTTTTATAGGGGCACTAATACCATTCATGAGGGTGCCACTCTCATGACCTAATCACCTCCCAAAGCCCCTCCTCCTAATACCATCACGTTGGGGGTTCGGATTCCAAACTGTGAGTCTCAGGGGCACACAAGTATTCATTCCATAGCGGAAGTCCTGTGTAATCTAGCTCCTACTTCCCCTCTCACCCCTGTCCTGTTCCTTCCCCTACACTCACTTCACTGCCTTTCTGTCCTAGAACACACACAGTTGTACCTCAAGGCCCTGGTGCTGGCTGGTCCCTTTGCCCATGGTGCTTTCCCGGCCAGTGCCTCCTGCTGCCCCTGCCTCGGATTCAGATTCCAACTTAAAAGTCACCCCCTCAGAGAGGGCTTCCTTGACCACCCAGTTTAATGAGGCCATCCAGTCACTCCACATTTTAATTAATTTTCTACAGCACACTCACTACTTTTTGAAATATTTGTTGTTGTTATTGTGTTTTGTTTTGGGTTGATTTTTCTAGCAGCTTAAACATTTATAATCTCGCAGTTTGCATGGATCAGAATTCCAGTCACAACTTAACTGTGTTCTCTGCTCAGGGTCTCACAAAACAAGGTGTCAGCCGGAGCTGGGGGTCTCATCTGGGGCTGAGGTCCTCTTCCAGGATCATGATGTTGTTGGCAGAATTCA